CAAGTCGGGCAACCAGGTGGCAAGAGGCTCATCCTGCCCAGGGAAAAAACATTTCTAAAGCCAGAAATCAAAGGGAGGCTTTCTCCTAACTCGAGAGATTTTTCTAACTCTGACCTCTCGAGTGACGAGACGCGTTGGTGGTGTCCCCAGGAAAGTTCACTTCCTCTTCCAGCCTCCACTCGTGCGATGTGTCACGGAGAACTTTTCTTCCAAAAATTGTCCACAGGGTGAGGAACACATTGTGTCTTCAGTTTTTGGCAACTCCACACAAAAACCCTAACAGCCCTGTGGCTTCGGTCTCCCAGGGACCGCACTTCAAGGACGCGTGGTCGTGGTCATGGAGCGCCTGCGGTTTCAGATGGTGAGGGAGGACCTACCCTCATCTGTCTAAATTGTCTCTGGCTTCCCGGCAGTCACTCCCCTCCTCTCCTCTCGAATTTGAGAGCTGTTGTCCCTCCTCCCTTGCCTGCCACCCCTGTTCCATTAGCACAGCCAACAGGCTCCCCTGGGGCTTTCGAAAAGCGCACTGGCAATTTGGATGTCAGGAGTTGGGAAAATCAAGCTTAATATTTAATGACATTACAAAGTCAACCTGTTCTCTTTTCATCCCAGATAGAATGGAAAAGCAGGGTTCTCACCAGGAGACTCCCCCAAGGAAGTGAGCGACAGTTGGTCTGGGAACCGCAGGGGGTTGGAGGGGGAGCACCGGGCTGGGCGTCAGCAAGCTGCAGCTCCAGCTTTGGCTTGGAGGCGAACTAGCTGTTGCCCTTGGGCAACACTCACGCTGTCCTTGTGCTGTCCCTCCTCCTGCCCCAGCACTGGATCGCTCCCGCTCGGGGTGCCCTGATTAGGGGCCACGCCCCGTTAAACACAAGATCCACTTGTGGGGATGTTTGTATAGCCCACGCAGACTTCAGGAAGGGTGAGGGTCTTTGGAGGGCAGGGGTCAAGAAGCGTGAGGCGGTGCCTGGGGAACGAGGTGAGGAGGTGTGGACAAAGGCCCCAGCTCTGTCTGCAGGACCGACAAAAGGCTCCGGACGCCTTGTGTCAGGCTCTAGGTTCAAGTCCAGAGGCTTTAGGGACCTGGAGGGGGTGCTATCTCTTCCTGTGAGTCTTCAGTTTGTGTTCACGGGAGGCTCTGGCCTTCGTCACCACCACCGGTCTCATGCCTGTCCTGTTGCCTCAGTTTCCCCAGCCTGGGCACATGCCACACAGGGGACGTGTGCAGTAAGAGTCTGTGGCACCAGTCAGTTGGGTGAAAGCCTGTTTCCCAAGTGTGGGTGTCTCTCCCAGGGGTTCCAGGACGGCTTTCTGGGCCCCGGAGTCTGGAGCGAGGAGGCTGGCCTGACAGGGACGCGTGCGCCGCGGAGCAGGTGTGAGGTCAGGCCGCCAGCTGCATTTCCAGGGCTCGGGGCCGGCAGCTGTGTCCACAGGTGTGTGTGAAGACCGGACAGGAGTGTGAGGCAGAAGCCCTGTGGTCGGATTCTGGAGCAGCGGAATCCCGGAGACACACGAGTGCATCTGCCTACCCACCACTTACACCTCGTTTCTGCCCCTGGAGTCCTTCCCTAGGGAAACCTGCCCTGTTAGAGTTTGTCCTGGAGAGTCTTACTCACTTTATGTAATTACTAGGCTGGCCAAAAAGTCTGTTTAGTTTTTTTTTTTTTCATAAAATAAAAGACACGGTCTTCATTTTTACCACTTTATTGATTTTGATATTTTGAGTGTGTCAACTCTCTCCCACTATTGGCTTCCAGTGGGCAGAGGCCAGGGGTTGCTGCTGAACATCTTCCAATGCAGAAGACGGCCCCACAGCAGAGAATTTATTTGACCAAAATGTCAGCAGTACCAAGAAACTTTGCAAACCCCCTCGGACGTGTCTAGTCAGTCACAGCACCTTCCCCATACACTGCACAAATCTTTTGTTTGTGTTTCGGTTGTGTTTTTACCCTTCTTGAAATCATAAAGCATAACACACTGAAAATGTTGGATATCTTCTTCCATCTTCAATATTAAAATGGCTGCACAAAAACTCACCAATTTTGATAAGTTTAAAAAAATTCACACTGATGTGAAAGCTGTCACGATACAATCTAACAAAATTGTTTCAAACGAAGTTAAAGACACCTAAGCACTATGAGAGCCATCCATCATCCGGAAAAAATGTAACAGACTTTTTGGCCAACCCAGTATTACCAGATCTCAGTTTTCTGGGAGACAGCGGCTGACAGTAGCATTTGCTGGTTTGGTAGAAAGAGGATTTTTGGAACAGTTTGGAAATGAAACTAATGTAATCAAGACCTCAGTATGCAGCGGGTTTAGTCGTGTAGGAGCTGGGGTTCTAGAATATGACACCTTATAGGAAGTAGCTTCTTAGTTGGGAAGCTCAATTGTGGACCCTCCTTGGAAGTGGATGATGTATTTTGTTGGTTTTCTCTTAGGGTAACGTGGTCTTCACATGCAGAAAGAGCGACACTGGGTCATGAATTTAGAAATATTTTTCCATCAAATATTTTTTAAAAATATATTTTATTGATTATGCCATTACAGTTCTATTTCCCCCCTTCATTCCCCTCCACCCTGCACCCCCTCCCCCACCATTCCCCCCCCTTTAGTTTATGACCACATGTCTCAAGTTCTTTAGATTCTATATTTCCTCTACTATTCTTGCCCTCCCCCCTATCTTCTACCTACCATCTGTGCTACTTATTTTCTGTACCTTCTCCCCCCTTCTCCTTCTCCCACTCCCCTGTTACTAACCCTCGAGATCTTCATTCCTATGGTTCTGCTCCTGATCTAGCTGTCCTCTTAGTTTTTTTTTTGTTTTAGGTGTGGTTGTTAATAACTGTGAGTTTGCTGTCCTTTCACTGTTCATCTTTTTTATCTTCTTTTTCTTAGGTAAGTCCCTTTAACATTTCATATAATAAGGGCTTGGTGATGATGAACTCCTTGAACTTGATCTTATCTGAGAAGCACTTTATCTGTCCTTCCATTCTAAATGAAAGCTTTGCTGGATAGAGCAATCTTGGATGTAGGTCTTTAGATTTCATGACTTGGAATACCTCTTTCCAGCCCCTTCTTGCCTGTAAGGTCTCTTTTGAGAAATCAGCTGACAGTCTGATGGGGACTCCTTTGTAGATGACTGTCTCCTTATCTCTTGCTGCTTCTAGGATTCTCTCCTTCATTTTAATCTTGGCTAATGTAATTATGATGTGCCTTGGTGTGTTTCTTCTTGGGTCCAACTTCTTTGGTACTCTCTGAGCTTCCTGGATTTCCTGGAAGTCTATTTCCTTTGCCAGATTGGGGAAGTTCTCCTTAATTATTTGTTCAAATAAATTTTTCACTCATGGCTGTTCCTCTTCCCCTTCTGGTACCCCTATAATTTGGATGTTAGAATGTTTAAAGATTTTCTGAAGGTTCCTAAGCCTCTCCTCATTTTTCTGAATTCTTGTTTCTTCATTCTTTTCTGTTTGGTCATTTTTTTCTTCCTTCTGGTCCACTCCCTTGATTTGAGTCCCAATTTCCTTTCCATCACTATTGGTTTCCTGTGCATTACCATTCATTTCAATTAGTTTAGCCTTCATATGTTCCTCTAATTTGTGACTAAAATCAACCAGTTATGTGAGCATCCTGATCACCAGTGTTTTGAACTGTGCATCTGAAAGTTTTGCTATTTCTTCATTGCTTAAATTTATGGGCTCTGGGGCTCTGAGTTCTTCTTGAGCCATAATGTTTTGCTCTGTTCTCGCCCGTTAATTATGAGGATCGGAGCCCTAGGTGTTCACCAGGGTGGGGCCACCGAGGTCGCTGTTTTGTGACGCTGTATGTGGGGGCGGGGTCAGAGAGGGACAATAGTGGTCCCCTTTGCTGCTTCCTGTCTCTGGGGCCTGCCTGGTCTGTCTCACTGCTCACTCCTTCATAGGTTTATCTGTGTGCCAATGTGTGACTGAGGTCAGCCCTCAGTGGGTCCACCCGCTGCTACTCCATACCTGGGATCCACCCACGGGTGCTGGCACACCTGGGTCGTGTGCCCGGGTCGGTCCGGTGGATCTTTCCTGCCCAACCCCACTCTGCTGCTGGTTCTGCCCCTCTTATTGGTTTGGCTGAAGGGCTCGTCGTTGTCAGACTTCTGTATAGTTCAATTTTCTGTGGTTTGGCTGCATTTTTGTTGCTAAAACTTTGTTGTTTTTAAACTTGGTTGTGAGAGAAGGCAGAGTGTTTCCACCTACAGCTCCATCTTGGCAGAAATCATGCTAAAGAAACAAGTAAAAGTGTTTTCCTTATAAGGCTTTCTACAGTATGATACAAAATGCAGAAGCCACAAGAGAAAATATTAATAAATTCAATTACATTGAAATGGATTTAGCTCAGTGCGCTGCAGACAAAAGCAAAAGGCAAACATCAGACTGGAAAGATGTTTGCCGCTCTGTCACAGAGGAAGGGCTGGGCTCTCGCTAATATATAAAGAGAGCCTACAAATCAATAAGCAGGGATTGTGAGCCCAAGAGAACAATAAACAGGCAAAGGATATGAATGGAGTCTGCAGAGAAGGAAGTCAAAATGCTAATTTGCTTAGTCTCGCTAATAAAAAAAGAACATGAAAGCTACATGGAGATAATCTTTTTCATTTTCCAGGTTGGCAAAGATCAGAAGGTGTGAAGATGCCAAGATAGTGAGGGCGGTGCGTGTGGTGTGCGTGGCGTTGGTGTGAGTTGTCACAGCCTCTGTGGGGTAGCAGCGTACTTGGTCACACACTGCGCACTCAGGAGTCAAAATTGTGAATGTTACGTCCACAAACGACAGGCTTCCCACAGAGACTAAGGTTTCCCGAACGGCATGTCGTGGAACAGGTTCTCCTAATATACCGTGGAAGAGCTTTTCAGGCAGGCCGGCTGGAAAACAAACACTGGCAGGTGTGAGGCATCAGTCGTCAGACTGAATCAGAGAGCTGCGAACACTGTTCAGGTCTAGCTGATGCGGTGTTTGTTGTCCCTCTTCAGGAAGAAGTCGGCTCCGGCAAACCTCGACTTCATTTTCTGCTCCTGGAAATGCGTGTCAGCCGGGAGTGTAAATGCCAAAGTGATCCAAAACCTGAGGGGATCTGCCCGGAGATGGGCTCTGCCCTCCGTGCTGGGACAACAGGGCCCTCTCGCCCCAAGAACCTCCCTGGTGTGCGACGAGAGTCTGGAGACTGACCTAGTGGCGTCAGTTCAGGTCAGTGCAGCGTCTGGAGGGGATCTGTTCCGGAAACCCTGCGCAGGGACCCCTTTGCGCCTGCGGCTCTGGGCTGCTGGGCGCCTGACTCCGCCCTCCTCGACGGAACTCTGGCAGTGCCTCTCCAAAATGTGTGGACAAATCTGTCTGTCCACATTCTCCTCTTCCCTTCAAGGTGGAACAGGTGACTGCCCTCGTCGCCCCTCCGGGAGCCACAAGAGCGCTAAGGGTCTGCTCAATGCTGAGCAGGCAGGCCCCCAACCGGAGCCATCGCGGAGCCTCTGGTCCTCCCCGAAGCAGGCAGGTAAGCATGTGCGTGCGAACAGGCGAACGAACCGGGGGGCACAGCCGGCCGTGGCTGGAGTCTGGTCTGCGGGGCCAGCCTCATGCTTCCTTCTCTGCCGCCCCTGCTCTTCCGTGGGGCTCGTTGGGGTCCCCTTTGTCAACTGTTGTCCGAGGACCTGATTCTGCTAGGGAGGGTTGTGTCTTCCACCCAGGCCGGTGGCTTTCAACCTTGGCTGCCCATCAAAATCACTGGGAAAAGCTTAAAAAACACTGGATGACCAGTGCCTGCCTGGGTCTCACCCCACAGATTTGCATTTAGTCGAGGCGCGGGCATTGCTCCTCAGGTGATTCTAATGAGTAGCCAAGGTGGAGAAGCGCAGACCTGGGATAACATCATACCGAGCAAGAGTATAGGAGGGAGGCAGAATCTGGCTTTGAGCTGTTTCCGGCAGCCTCTATTCCCCTCCCTTTGCTCCCCCTCCCCTTCTGAGAAGTGCCAAGGACATGTGTTCCCACCCTTGGACACCCACTGGTGGTGCTGGCTTCTCACACCCACCATCATCTTCTCTATAAGCCGCTGTCCCTCCTGCAGCATCTTGGGCAAGGCGGGCAGAGGGCTCTGGACACCTTGCCGGACCTCAGTGTCCTCATCAGTAAAACGTGGAGTGTGTGTGACCAGCCTCGAGGTCCGTGGTCGGGATTACAGGAGACCCTCTCACACACGCCGCTGCGGGGCTCACAGGGCAGCAGAGAGCTGAGTAAGCCCCCGCCTCCCCCACCGGGGGCCTGGGCCTCTTCCTTGGGCCACAGTTTCTCTAAGTGCTTGCTCACGACAATCTCTTAATCCTCTTAGAAATGACAGATGGTAATTCCTGGACTGTTCAGGGAGGATGGATGACTGTTCCACACTGACGTGCCACTTGGGATAAATGAGGCCTGTTACAGATATTAACTTTTTTTGCATAAGCCTGCACCTTGAGCAGTGAAATACGAAGCAGAGCATGTGCCTGCCTATTCCACAGACGGAAAGATTGAGGTGCCATGTGGTTAAGATCTCCCCATGGGCCCCTCTGCAGGCAGAGTGCAGCGTGGCACACAGGGCAAGTCTTGGTGCCTGGTGCTCTTGCTACGTACTGTATTTCATCGCAACATTTCAGCATCCCCAGGGAGCAATTACTGGGACCTCTGCGTCTTGGTTGAGGAAACTGAGACTCAGGGAGGCCGTGTCACTTGCCCAGGCCTGCACCGAGTGGAGGCCAGCTGGGCTGTGACTGTTCCTTTGCCTGGCTTGGAAGTGCAAGCAGAGGTGGCCGTGCCCATCAGGCTGTGAGCGTGGTGTCCAAGTGTCTGAAGGTGTCGTCGGAAAATTGCAGATTGTCAGGGCACATCTTTTTGTACCTCCATCCCTGTGAGGACTTTTCAAGGACATCCTGTGGCTGAAACATTTGGGTCAATGGCTTTGTAGGGTGATGACCGCACCTTGGCCCTCACTTTCCAGACACAGTGTTGATTGGCCTGTGTCTGGAAAGTGCCCCCACACTGGGGGGCACTGGATTCTGTGCCATGGTCCCTGCCCTCACGGAGCTTCCAGTCTAGCAGGAGAGGAAGCAGAGCGGGGGATGTGCTAAGGCAGAGTGGGCAGAGGACAGGGTTTGGAGGCTCGCAGGTCTATGGCAGGTTGTACTCAACATTACACAGCAAGTCCGGGAAGGCATCCCGGAGGAGGTGATTTTTGAAACCAGCTTTGGAGTGAGGCAGAGGTGGATGAGGAGGGAAGGAGCAGAGAGAACATGTGCAAAAGCTTGGAAGCATGGAAAGAATGTGTGTTTGAGAAAGACGAGTCACAGGGTGCAGGGCAGCCGTGAGGCCGAGGGGCAGCTCAGGGCCAGCCTCACTGCTCCTGGACCCCCTTGGTTCTGACTGTGATGGATGCAGCCCCCATATCCGTTCTTCTGTTGCAAGTCACACTCAGTGTGCAAAGCTGGAGCGAGGCCCCACAGCCTCGTCTCTTCCAGTTAGGCCAAAGGGGTGAAATGACTTCATTACTGTTGTTTTGCCAGTTGCCACTTCTCTCAGCATCCCCCTGCCAGGTTACCCAAGGAGGCTGCTTCCAGCCCCGCCCACCGGGCCCCGGGGTCCTTCCCTCTGCCATTCAGAGCGGACCTCTGAGTCTTCAGGAGACCTTTGCTGTGTTCTAGTGGCTTCCTCATTTGAAAAGCAAGTTTACACGCATTAAAATGGCCATGTTTGGAAATACATTTTATTTATATATATTTCTTTGGAAAAAACGGGCCATATTTAAATCATTATGCTGTTGTAGCAAACTGAATTTGATTAGCACTTCATGTGTGGATTGGTTTCAGACGCATGCTAGCTTGAAAATCACTGAAAAGGAATTCTTTGTCGATTAATTTGTTTTTCTCTCTCTTGGTTCTGACACTTAGGGGGATATTTAAATTGTCTTTCAGCACTTCGTGCAAAGCCAGTCTGGGTGCCAGAGAGCTGCGTGGGCAGAGTTTGGGTATTTTTAATGATGCAGTGGTGGAAGTGGAATGGGAAACTCAGAGACTCAAACACACCCGGAGTTGGAGGGACTTCCGTGGCTACCAGGTCCAGTGCTTTAGTTTACAGCTGCTGGTAGCTGGCTGCCGGCATTCCTGATAAATGTAGGGAACTCACTACCTTAACATTGGCCTGGAGTTAGTTCAAGGGGGCGTGTGTAATGGTGTCACACAGGAAGTGCCACAGCCTCTGTGTATTTCAGTTTGGGCTCCGAAGTTAAGATGGCAGCTGGGAGGTGGTTGATTGTCCCGAGAGAACACAGGTCCAGGTGCAGAGGAACGTGGACAGCCCCGAAGCACCTGACCGTGACTTAGGAGGTCCCTAAGCAACACCTGTGCAAACGCACAGGGTCCAGGGCCCAGAAGCAAGAAGAAGACATCCCAGCCCAGGGTCTGCCATGAGAACAGTGTGGCTCGTGCACACACGTGCTGACCAGCCCAGCCTGGAGGTTATCTCCTCTGCTGTCCTGGCCACGGGCGTTACCGAGTCTCAGAGGGGAAAAAGCTGGAGCTTGGCAATCACCGAGGCCCTGTATCGTTCATTCAACAAATACTTACCTGTAAGTTCTAAAGAGTAAATTACAGCAAAGACATCTCTTCATGGAAGGTGGTCTTGGTCGTGCTGGTCGAATCTGTTTGCTGTCACTGCGAGGTCAGGAGTGAAAGCTGCCCTTGGGAAGTATTCCAGATGCATTACCAGACCAAGGAAAATAGAAGTTTGGTTGGGGTACGGGCCCTGCATCCCGAGCCGGCCACGGGAGATAAAGAGCTGTGCTCCTGTCGGAGTCCCCCAGGCCACCCAGGCTGCTTGCAGACCAAGCGGGGACTCAGAGGTCTGGGGTGGGGCGCGGGCTCTGCGGTTTGAGTGGGCTCCCCAGGGGAGGGGCTGCCTTTTCGAGCACCGTCTGACAAGGCGTGCTGCATATCACAGGAACACTGTGAAAGATGACAGATGTCATGCCAATGTGGCACGTGTATAGACGGGCTTGGGGGCCGGGTGGGCCCGCAGAATTCCTCCATCCTGTAAATTGGTTGTGTTGCATTTGCCGACCCTCTGGCCTGTCTCTGGTCGACGGAGAACTGCAGTGTCTGAGAATCCTCTCCCAAAGGGCTGACACGGTGCCTGGGGCGACCTGCCCACGGTGGCCTACCCGACACTTGAGCAATCTCTGGTCTTGCCCACTGTACCCTGGGCACAGACGCTGGTCCACAGTGGAGAACATTCACTCTCTGCACTTAACAACCCAGCTTAGCCACTTTCTGCCTAGTGCCACTGGCTCCCAGCGTGGGTCGTACAGCGGCGACCCCCGCACAGCTGTCAGGCAGAGCCTGGATTAGCGAGCAGCATGTCCCGCCTCCCCGGAGCCCAGAGATGGTGGTACTGCCCCCGAGGTGCGCCTTTCTCACTTCACCTCTTCATGCATCTCCGGTGCAGGGGCCCTTAGCCGAGGTGACAGCTGTAGGTACTGGCATGTGGGCAGCAGTGGTCGCTGGTGCCACAGGCTCTGTCCTCAGCCATTCTGCAAGCTTGCTTTTCCCTTTGTCTCCTTAGAAACCTGACCTCGACCTTCCTAGTGAACATTTAAGGCTTTCCGGCTGCCCCACCCCCCACCCCAACTTGTATGGTGGCTGTGGCGGTGGCCAGGTGGTACAGACTGAATGTCTGTGGCCTCCCCCAATTCATATGTGAAATCCCAACCCCAATGCTGTGGTCTCAGGGGATGGGGCCTTTGGCAGGTGATTCGGTCATGAGCGTGAAACTCCTGTAACTGGGATTAGATCCTTTATAGAAAAAGAGCCCGTGTGAGCACACAGACAGAAGACGGCCAATGTGAGCCAGGAAGGGGGCTCTCCCCAGACCCTGAGTCTGCCGGTGCCTTGATTTTGGACTTCCCAGACTTTACAACCGTGAGAAATAAGTTTCTTTTGTTATAAGCCCCCTGTCTGTACTATTCTGTTGTAGCTGCCCAGGTGGCCTGGACACCCGGTGAACGTGAGTGAGCGGCTTCGCTCCTCTGAGCCTCAGAGCTCACAGGGCCGGGCGAGCTGGCCCGCCTCACTCCACAGGGTGCGGGAAGGGCCCTTTCCCCCAGAGCGTGCTGGGGCCCGGGTGGTGGGGCCGGGCCTGTGTTCACCTGTGTGTGAGCTGACTCTGTACCAGATTATCCCATCTGGTGTCAAAATCAGTTTCCTTCCCAGTTCTTGGTCTTTGGGGGTATCCTCTGTGTCAGTTACAGAGGGGTCCCTACCCACCTGTGGCCCCCTCCCACCCTGCCATCTTGGAATCCTGGGGTCCACTGGCTGCTCCCTGGCTTGCTGAGCTTGAATGGGCTGGGATGACCTCTGACCCAGAGTGGGCGGAGCCTAGCTGCTCTGGGCAGCTCTGAGGATCCAGTTGTGCTGGGGGAGGCGTGCATAGCCTTAGGATGCCTCCTGCGCAGCACTTGGATCAGCATTG